GATGTGAGTATTTGTTATCACCCAAGGATGAACCCTATTGAAAATCAAAACAATCAACAAATATTTAGTATGAGTTATTGCCATTGTTCTTGAAAACGCGTTGAAGTTTTAGCCTGTGGACACTCAAGGAGACCCAATTCTTGACATATTTTGATGAAACATGGTCAAATTATCCAGTATCCTCAAGAAGTTCAAAAGAAGTGTATGACTGAAGTTGAATATTTCATACTGGTGATTGTTACTGTACTACCAAATATTTTTTATTCAAAATCAAAGCTGCCAGTGGGCAAGCTATCTTCTATGGAGTGGGAGGTAGGATTTATCCATGCTGCTTTAAAGATGTTAACTTTAGTGGTCGAATTTTAATCCTGTGGTTTGATTAGGTTTCTGTAATCGCAAAAACTTGGTCCAATTTACGCACCTTTCCCCTACAGCCTTTTTCACCTTGAGAGAAAATCTAACTGTTTGGAATTCAGACATTTTATTAACTCAAAACAAATATTGTATTAATGTATTAACAAAAATCAGATTTAAATACAAATTGTGAAAAAAAATTGAGAATGACTTCAGACATTCGATTTATACATCCTTTATACATGCTCAAATTTACACTCTGCCCCTATTTTTAACATATTTAAGTCATGGATTTTAACTATATATTCACGTTTTATGATCAAAAATGTCGTCATGACTATTTCAAATTTTAAGCAAGTACATGTAATACTTTTTTAATTCAAATATTATCAATACACATATACACAAAATTTCTTTTTAAATGAATACTGTAGCCTTACTAAGGTTAAAACTGTTTTTTTTTTTTATTTTAACATGGCCTTTGTTTTTTTTAAATAAACCACATAAAAGAAACTAGAACAAAGCTTTCATTGTTTATGACTCTAAGCCAGTGGGCCCTGTAAAAATATCAATAGTGTAGGCCTGTTTTTGTTCCATTAAACATACCATATACCATGCCATACCTGTCCAGCTCGTTTTATATCTAAGAATTTTGCCCAAGTAACGCAATCAAGACCACGCCAGTTATAGTAGGCCAAAAGACGGCAAAGCTAAAGCAATGTCTATGGTGCCTCTGATAGGTATGGTAAATTGTAGTCTTTGGGGTTTCTTTATGTCAAGGCAAGGTAACAAACGCCCACAACCAGCTGTCAGAAATGATAACAAAATCCTTAGTGGCTTAATAATGAATTTTCAAATACATGTAATCTAAAAAAAATATTTATAAGTCAAGGCAAAGCCTGATCAAATTATCATCAAATTCAAACATGAACATGGTCTCATCGCCGTAAACACAAGGGTAATTACTCTGAAACTGTTCATCCGATTATTACCAATTTCTAACTTAACCGAGATCTCATCAATATTTACGTGCATTTCATCAAGATCGGATAAAAGTTAATTATCTATGGTACAATTTAAATATAGATATATATATAGAAAAAGAAGTATTTGCTTTACTCACTGTAAAATATAGAAGAAACCAGGGTTGTCTTCAATTTTTGGTAAAATATTTGCATACCAAGTCTCATCAAGATCGGATAAAAATTGTAGCCTCTATTGCACCCACAAGAAATGTGAACGGACAGGGGCGACGGCAATGTACGCCCATATTTTCATGTGGGCGTATAAAAACTGACAATAATCAAATTCAGACTTGACCACAACGGCAATAACTCATCGAAGAATCGTCAAATCTTATCAACCCCAATGCTCACATCAAGTCTCATCAAAATCCATTGTGCCCACAAAATTTTGACGCATTTTACTAAATCAAGGGCAATAACCGTTCTTCGAAAAATCGGGTCGTATATTGTCGTCGAACCTATCCGTCGGTCCCACATTTCTTGTGGGCACAATAGAGGCTGCAGTTTTCATATGATTTCACATTTTTAAGTGGGCGTATAAAAAGTACTAATAAGTCTTGAAGCGAATGTTAACTTTTCATTTACCAACCAACATAATAAGTCATATTGGAAATATCATCCAATGAGAACAAACAAAGGGACAATTAACACTTGAGGAGCAACGAAAGCATTAAGTATTCAATATTTTCACATTTTCGATGGTGTTGCTCTGGCCGACCAGTGCGTGTCGATAGGTTGGGCTTATAATCTAATATTTTGTATTGTCCTTTATTACTCTTTATAACATCAATATAAAATCAGGGATCGATATCTTTTGTTAAATTCGTGATATTTCCTCCTGCGATTGTTTTATAATCACACCCGTTTCAGCGACAGTTCTTATTGAAATATAAGTAACAGCTTCGTTTAATTGTTCATTTGGCCTACAACGTCGGTGTTGGCTTAAGTCATGTAGAAACTATCTATCATGGAAGGACCCCTTCTGTGCGAATCATCATTATGATTAACTGTTCTGTTTCGGAGGATAACTGCACAACTGTTAGTTTAACAGAGGAATCATATCTAGAAGATAGTGCTGTGCAACGATATGTGAATGGTATTTTCGGCTGTGTTATATTTTTCTTAAATCTAATTACAATTTTATCTTTACTAATATCCAAAACAGTGAATAAAAAGGATACGGTATCTCTTTCGATGATAATGTCAGCAAATACCCTGATCGGGCTACAAGTTTTATGTGTAAGACTGGTACCGACAGAATACACCAGTGAAAATGTCATATGTCGACTTCGAATTCACACTGCTTGTATTTTCACATGTACAATAACATTCTCAAATGTATTGGCGACTTTCGAAAGATTCGTGACAATTGTAATACCTCTAAATTACGACCAGTATGTAACATGGAAGCGCTTGTTAATTTACAGTGGTGCTATATGGCTTTTTTCAATTGCTTTGTCTTGGACAATTTTTAACAAGGATCTTTGGAGCGAAACAATCGAGACAAAAACCTGTTTATTGACACTGGGAAGTCCAACTGCTTCCTCCATTTTGGGATTTATGATGTGCTGCGCCGCAGTCTTGAATACGACTTTGTATGCATACATTATGACAGTAGCTAAGAGACAAATACATCAAATAGCAGCAACAATGGTTGGTGGAAACACTCCGTACACAAGGAATATATTCGTTACGAAAAAGGAAATTCGGTTAACTCTCACTGTTGGGATCAACATCATAGCCTTTGTAGTATCCTATTTTCCAATGGGTGCATATATCACATATTACGGTATTTTTTCTAAAGATCCAAATCGAAAGCTGTTTGTTACTCTGATTACTCTATTTATGTTCAACAGTTTAGTTAATCCTATTGTGTATATTTGGGGATTAAGACGTTGTCGAGAAGACATAATAACGAAAATATGCGGACGTTTTTCTAATTAACCGACAATATGACAATTTTATGTATCCCCGATAAAGAAGGGAATCCATATGAAATTGGAACAAAGATGGCACTTTTCAGAGCTGGATTTAGTACATTAGGTCCTATGGGTCTTCACAAATGTTATTTAGAAATCTACGAGAGAGAAAAATTGTAACTCTTCTTTAATTTATACGACGACGACACTATCTACCAGTGCAATTTAATTTTCGTACGCATGTCAAACGTTGGATATGAATGATATAACAATTTCAATAAAACAATCAAAAAAAAAAAAAGGAACAAGATGTTGTTAATGATCAGTTATATCTTTCTCTGTAATAAGATCTTCAACAACCAAGAGAATAAAATTGATCGGATCA